ATTCTTTCCCTTCTACTCCCTAGGGTATCAGCAATCATTGATGGTAGCTGACTTTCAGAGAACAACCCCTAGTTGATCTAATCCTAATATTCCTAAGTTACATAATGATTCTGTTTAAACTTCCTGACAGCATTTTCTAGGTTAGCTAAACCTCCTAGTCATATGTTACAAAGTTGATCTCCAGTGTTATTCTAAACCTGGTTTTCCTCTGTTGCTACATTTTACACTTATGTCACCATTTCACATAGGGAATATGAAAAATTTACAGAAATTTTTGCCATTCCTTTTATTGAGTTCTCTAGTTGTTTTTCTCTAGCTACTCTTCCAAGTGCAGAATTTTAATATCTGTGCACAGTAATTTTCTCATTCCATCTGGTGCTTATATCTCACTTCTTCCTAATGTGTATTGGCCTTTGCCAATATTTCCAGAACAACATACATAATGGATATACATAATGGAGGTATTAATGGCTGCTATCATCTTGCTTGTGCTGCTAATGGGGGTGCTTGTATCAGCGGTTTACTATGAAGTTTATTGATGCTAAGTCTATTCAGAGGTATGTATGAAATAATAACTGTTATTATTTTAAAAGCATCCATTTTTACTCTTCCAAAGACCTTTACGAAGTTCTGGTTTTGAATTGTGTCTGTTTAGGTTGTGGGACCATATAAAGCTTCTCTTCTTTCTGATATGCAAACATGTTGATGCTAGCTTTAATTTCTAGGGGGCATTTCTTCATATGCTTAGTGCTTGTCTTTCAACTCTTAATACTTACTGCCTGTTTGCTGTACAACACTTTTCACAAATGATGTATTTATTTGGTTACTTGTTAGTCATCTAGGTGACTTAAAGCACAGGGGAAGATGTCTGCAAGTTGTATCCAAATACTTCTTAATTGCATACAAAGGATTTAAGGGTTTTAATATTTGGAGGATCTCTTGAGAGTTCTGAGGAATAACTGTACTTTTCAGATCAAAGATGCACTTGACAATATCTCTGTCAATTAATATGGTCCCAAGTTTTACATTTTACTTATATCAGAATCTTTTGCTTCTCAGTCACTCTTGTTGACCTAGAGAAGGAGACAGAGCTTGAAGCATTTAAAATCTTTTGGTACATACAAGGTAATCCTGCAACAGAAGCATCAGATCCAAGGTGTCAGACATGAGTCATACCTTCTCACTCACAGCCTGCATATTGCTGACCATGTCACTAGCTCACTACTTAGTGAGATAACATTGCCATGTTTAGAGTTAGATGAAACTATCCCTGTGAAAGAACTATATGGTTCCAGATAATGATTACTATGTATTCTGTTCTCTCAAGGTCAAGCCTTGCTGGGGTCAAGGTTGTAACTCTCCATGACCAGGGCACTGCCCATTGGGCTGACCTGTCTTCCCAGGTATCTCGTTTTGGCTTCTCATTGCCCAGTCTCCAACTGGAGGGAGACATATATTTTCAGCCCAGGAGCAGGAAAATTTAAGGACTGACAATCCCTGAAGACCCTAAGAACTGTACAGGTTGAGAGCAGCAGCTATTGTTAGGCAATCTGAACGAGCACATTTATTTATATTTGTTTTCTCAATTGACTGCAATCCTCCTTGCTCATTGCAAGCACAGTATGCTCTATGCTTTAGGAATGATTGTGACTTAAAGTAAAACTTGATAAACTAAATGCACTTAATTCTTTCATATATATAATTTCTCAGAACAAAATGTAACAGTGATGCTAAGTCAAAATATATGAGATAAGTGGAAAACTAACTTATGGTAGAGATATCTTTTAGAATTGAATACTAAAGGAAAATGTCCTAGCAAAATTACAAAAATATCTACATATGCAATTTAAATGAAAACTTAACAGATATATGAACTTTTGTTTAAGTTGATTATTATTCTGAATTCTGCATTTTTCTACTGGATGATATCATAAAAATCTTAAGAAGCACCTGTACTTTTGAGGGAAAGGAGGAAGGAATATTCATAAGCAACAGGTATGTATAAAATTTGGAATAGTTGACAAGAAGCTAGTAACATGCACAAATTATGAAAATAAATGAAAAGATCAACAGGTCTTTCAAGTGGAACGGTACTTTTTTTATAAATGATAAAGGTGTACACAGAACTATGTGTACTTGGGTGTCTATCACAGGATTGCTTAAAAGAGGAAACTGTTGGGACAATGGAAAACACTAACAACAAGGGGTTGGCTTAAGAAACCACGCGATTTTAACATCCAGTTATGCCATCATCGTTTGGTAAAGAGGTTTTTTTTTCTTTTCCACTGTATCATTTTGGCTTCTTTGTCAAAAATCAGGTGTTCATAGGTGTGCAGATTGATTTCAGCATCTTCAATTCAATTCCATTGGCCTACCTGTCTGTTTTTATGCCAACACCCAAGATGTTTTTCATTACTATAGCTCTAGAGTAGAGCTTGAAGTCAGGGATGGTGATGCCTCTGGAAGTTCCTTTATTGTACAGGGTTGTTTTAGCTATTCTGGGTTTTGGGTTTTTCAATTTAAACTTGAGTATTGTTCTTTCAAGTCTGAAAAATTGTGTTGGGATTTTGATGGGGATTGCAATGGATCTGTAGATTGCTTTCGGTAGGATTGCAGAAGATTGCAAATAGATCTGTATCTATTGCCATGCACAGAACTCAAATCCAAATGGATAAAAGGCCTCAACATAAATCCAGATACATTGAACCCGATAGAACTGAAAGTGGGAAGTGGCCTGGAACATACTGGCAGAGGAGACCACTTCCTAAATATAACATGAGTAGCACAGACACAGAAAACAAAAATCAATAAATGGGGCCTCCTGAAATGGAAATGCTTCTGTAAGGCAAAGGACACTGTCAATAAGACAAAACACTAGCATACAGGATGGGAAAAGATCTTCACCAACCCCACATCTGACAGAGGGCTGATCTCCAAAATTTGTAAAGAACTCAAGAAGCTAGACATCAAAATTAAAAAAAAAATAACCCAACTGAAAAGTGGGGTACAGAGGTAAACAGAGATTTCTCACCAAAAGAATCTCAAATTGCATGACCAAAAGACACTTAAGGAAGTGTTCAACATCCTTAATCATTAGGGAAACCCAAATTCAAATGACTGTGAGATACTATCTTACACCTGTCAGAATGACTAGGATAAAAAATACTGGGGACAGCTTATGTTGGCAAGGATGGGGAGTCAGAAGAACTGCTGGTGGGAGTGAAGACTTGTACAGCCACTTTGGAAATCAGTATGGCTGTTTCTAAGAAAACTGGGACTCAATCTACCTCAAGACTCATTGATACCATTCTTGGGCAATTACCCAAAGGATGCTCAATCATACCACAGGGACATTTGCTCAACAATGTTCATAGCAGCATTATTTGTAATAGCCATAACCTAGAAACAACCTAGATGCCCCTCAACTGAAGAATGGATGAGGAGTATGTGGTACATTTATACAATGGAGTACTTACGCAGCAGTGAAAAAAACTGATGACCTCATGAATATTTTAAGGCAAATGGATGAAACCAGAAAAAAAGAAACCACCCTGGATGAGGTAACACAGACTCAGAAAGAGAAGCACAGTATGTGCTCACTCATAAGTGGATATTAGAAGTAAAGCAAAGGATAATCAGATTAAAGTCTACAGCTCCAGAGAAGCTACGTAACAAGGAGGACCCTAAGAGGGATACACGAATCACCCTGGGAAGTGAAATTATATGGTATCTACAGGACAAACTGGGGACAGGGGTGTGGTAAGGGGGAGGTGAGGGAAGGGGGTATGAGAACAGGAGGGAAAGAGATGTCCTAGGTGGGGAGGGTTGCGGTGGAAGAGCCATGAAAAAGATATCTTAATAGAGAGAGCTACTATGCACATAGGGAGAAACCTGATTCTAGGGTAACTCCCAAGACTCCACAAGGAAGACCCCAACTAAGACTCCTAGCAATAGTAGAGAGGATGCCTGAACTGGCCTTCCCCTGTAATCAGACTGATGAATACCCCAACTGTCCTCATAGATCCCTCATCCAGCAATTGGAACCAGATGCAGAGATCCACAACCAAGAACCAGACTGAGCTCTGGGAATACAGGCAAAGAGACGGAGGAGAGAACATATGATCAAGGGAGGTCGGGAACATGATGGAGAAATCTACAGAGACAGCTGAACCAAGCTTGTGGAAACTCATTAACGCTATACCACAACTGTGGAGACTCCAGGGGACTGAACGAGGCCCTCCACATGTAGGAGACAGGTGTGAATCTTGGACTATCAGAGGGACCCCTGGCAGTAGGACCATGATACGAATCTGGTCCATGAGCTAGTTTGTTGGAACCCATTCCTTAGAGTGAGATGCCATGCTCAGTGGCAGTAGGACCACGATAGAATCCCAGTACATGAGCTAGCTTGCTGGAGCCCATTCCCTATGGTGGGATGCCATGCTTAATCTTAGTGCATGGGAGAGGGACCAGGTCCTTACCCACTTAATTGAGCCAAACTATGTTGACTCCTCACGGGAGCCCTTACCCATGAGGAGGAGTGGACTACGGGTGGGATGGGGAGGAGTTAGTGGAGAGTGGGAGGAGGTGAGGGGGTGGGAGGAGGCACAGGGAGGTAGGGGGAGGAGTGGGAGGGAGAACTGTGATTGGAATGTAAAATGAAATCAAAAAATGGAAAAAACTATGCAATTTATTGCTAGCTTACATAATGACATGGGAACTTTCTTATAAATACTGTTAACATAAACTGTTAATATACACAGCACAAGTCACTAAATGAATATTTGGAAAAATAGATTCTTAAAAAGAGGAGTATAAGAGTGTAGCTCAGTGGTGTAGTGTTTGTTTAGCATTTGTCCCCTGGGTCTAACACTCAGTCTTGCTCTTACAAAAGGAGCCAAACTTTTCAAATTATCTGCCATGAGTATGTTCTACATCATTATTATGAACTAACCCCATGTACATAGCTTAATTATTTAAAAATTTTAAAGACAGAGATGTTTGGCCAGAATAGAATTTATTGTTCACTGGGGAGATTAAACAGTTTCAGTTAAACTCAGTTGAATTCTTTGTGGTTTCGGTATCTTTTGACAATTGCTCATTAACTGGTTGATATTTAATCTGTTTTATTAAATGTTATGCTACTCTAAAGATATAAACAATTTCTTCTAACCCAAGGAGACACTATCATTGCTCTCATTCTCTTCCCAGACTTTTCCGGGTGTCTCTTAGTTAGGGTTTCTACTGCTGTGAAGGGACACCGTGATCACGGCAACTCTTACAAAGGAAAACATTTAATTTGGTGGCGGCTTTCAGTTCAGAGGTTCAGCCCATCATGGTGGGACACGGTGGTGTGCAGGCGGACCCGGCGGTGTGCAGGCGGCCGTGTGCAGGCAGACACGGCGGTGTGCAGGCGGACATGGTGCTGGAGAAGGAGAGGGAAGCAGATGCAGAGATCCACAGTTAAGCACTGGATAGAACCAGTGGTGTCCAGTCCTAGAGAGGGAGGATGATAATGTGAGCAAAGGGGTCAAGACCACGATGTGGAAACTCAAAGAAACAACTGGCCCCAGCAAGTGGGAGCTCACGGACTCCAGACTGACATCTGGGGCACCTACATAAGACTGTACTAGGCCCTCTGAATGGGGGTGACAGGCAGGTGGCTTGGGCAGTCTGTGGGGTCATTAGCAGTGGAACCAGCATTTATCCCTAGTGCATGAAATAAATGGCTTTTTGGAGCTCATTCGCCTATGGATGAATACATTGCTCAGCCTAGAATCAGGGAGGAGGGCCTTGGTCCTGCCTCAAGTGACAGACTTTATTGATTCCCCATGGGAGGTCTCACCTCTGAGGAGTGGATTGGGGGTGGGGTGAGGAGAAGGTGAAGGGAGCAGGGAGGACAGGAGGGAGAGGGAGCTGGCATATGGTATGTAAAATAAGATTGCTTTAAAAATAAAAATGTTATTTAAAAAAAAAAGATTAGCATCGGGTGTTGTTGGGGGCTCACCTTAATCCCAGCACTCTGGAGGCAGAGGCAGGAGGATCTCTTTGAGTTCGAGGCCAGTCTGGTCTACAGAGCAAGTTCCAGCACAGCCTCCAAAACAATACAGAGAAACCCTGTCTCAAAAAACAATAACAAAACAAAACAAAAAAAGACTAGGGACCTTGGTTTGAGGAAATACTTCGTGTTAACAATCAATAAATACACCTTTGTTCTGGGTCCATTTCAGTACCCCAGAAGAGGCTGTACCTTCCTGCTGTCACAGGGGCCTTAAAGTTTAGTCTTGGAGGGCCTTCTTTCTTCAACCGGCAATGAAAGAACACAGAAGGAACTCAAAAGAATAGAGAATGAAGAAGGAAATCACCCAGAGAGAATGTGAGTGTCTTTTCCCCTGCCTCCTTCAGATACAGAAGTCTAACACATGCTGACACCATGGATTCCTTTCAAGCCCCGTGCTTCTAGAGGCTGCCCGTCCCCCCTTGCAGGGATGCTCTCATCTTTCTCTGATAAAAAAATGTTAACTTCCCCCGGAATGCAGATCTTGTTTCCATTCTCAGCATCTACCCTATTCATATAGGCTCTCTGCCGTGACCACTGGGTCCTCCGGCCAGAACTGCAAGCAGGGGCTCGCGTTCCGTGATTTTAGGTGGTATGCAGCATGGGTGAATCTCGCCACTCCGGAAGTGGAGAAGTACATAGCTGTTGACTGAAAGACAGCAGGACCGTGTTTCCCAAGTCATTTTCCATGCTCATGTGTAATCTCCGGTCTCTCAGCCGCGAAAGACCAAAAGGAACAGCAGGGACAAACCTCTGAAGGGTCCTTTAATCTGTGCCGTGACCTTCCATAGAAGGCTATAGTTCAATATAATTTTTTGTCTTTGCTCTCTCTGGCTCATTTACCGTATGCTTCTTCGAAATGAACTCCAAATGTGACCAGGGCCACAATGCCTTGAACTACTGCTGCAAAAATTGATTTCCTCTTGAAATTACTTAAAGGTCCAGCCAGAGACCACGCCAGGGGATGAGCGGCTTGTCTCACTCTTACATGACCACACTGTAGCATCAATGGCTGCTTTCAAACCAAGTGGGCAGCATCAAAAAAATGACGCGTCCTTTGAATTTGGGTCTATGTTAGGTCAATATACTCTTGCTTCTGCGTGTTTTAATACTTGCATATTTAACACACGGTATTGAATAATAGAATAATCACATTTTTTATTTTCTACAATTAAAGTTAAAAATTGCAATGGTGGATGTATCATGAATATAAGCAAATGGGTATATTATAACAACATTATAGAATATCAAGGGTAATAAAAATAAAATCAGAATGACTAAACGTATCTGAAGTAACAATTAGTATAAGTTTTGGAATCTCTACATAGTTTCCTTTCATTTTGGACTTGGAAGTATAGACAGAAAGGCTATATGCATTAACTATAGGCAACCTTTCAGTGAGCAGTGTATCTCAAGAAAGAAATCTGTTATGATGAAATGTATAGAATACAGCAGAAAATAAAAAAAAATTAAAATCTATTTTGGCAGTAGCAAGAGTAAGCATCTTGTTGTACATTTAAAAAGTATGAAACTGAAGACTGCATTAACCAAATCAATCATTTAGGGACTATAAGGTATTTCTATGCAAATATTTGATCATCTTCAACTTTCGACTTTGTTCCAGGAATTTTAGTTGCATTGAAGTATATTTTGGAATTGCAAATCTGTCAATCACAGCCTTTAAAAAACTTATACATGCACATTTAATTTTGTATTATATTTAGAAAGTTTCAGTCATTGTCCAAGTTCAGAAAAACCTTTTTGTTAATATAGGGTCACCCTTTGCAATCCAGTTCATAATCTTCCTGCCTAAATTTCCTGCACTGGAACTAAAACCATGTTCATAACAACTTCTTTGTAATTTTCAAGAAAAGGAATTGCTTTTCAATTATGAAACTACATACAACGATCCCATACATAAGTAGGGTTATATTTAAG